AAGTGTTGTCATATCATCTGTTGATTATCGCGTCTTAACAAAAATGAAGAAAAAAGTGCCAACTGAAGCATAAATCTTTGTGACAAGGCTAATGTTTAATGTTATGAGACCTGTATCAGTAAAGTCCAAGAAAGCCCTAAAGAAGTGAAGGTTGGATGGATGTGATTAGGAGCAGGACTACTTATGAATTCAGTGGTAGACTTTGTTTTAGACGTTAGCCTGTTGTACGCACAGGTCTCGAATATTAAATCGATAGCCAAGACAAGGAAAGGTAAGTAAAGTAATATAATATACAGGAAAAGAATGTTGGGCTCTAGCATATGTTTGTAACCTTCAGGTTTATACAGAAATACTGTTATTGGGAATATGTGTTGTTCTTGTGCCATTAAAGAACCCTAAATCATTTTGGAGAATCTTTATACATAAATCTAATTAGAACCTAACATTTATTACAGCAGAGCTTGGGCCTGAAAACTCTTCGTTTCTCACTCCTTTGATTGTTGGACTTGTTTGTGGAATTTTACTGATTCTTCTTCTTCTGCTGTTGTGTCGCTTCAAACTGTCAAAGGGTGAGGCCATCTTGTTTTTGCCTTATTATGTGATCTAAGTATTCATGCATCTAGTCTGAAGTAGATGTACTGTCATTGCACCAGAGCAGTTTGAAATTATTTTCTTTTTCGTTTTTTTACAGATTCATGCTTTAAGAGGTTGGTTCAACCCTTTCCACCCCTTTTTCAACCTTCTGGAATTGTTACATTTACAAATTTATGTTATATTTTTATTCCTCCAGGCCTCAGAGCAAAAATCAGCACTCTGCTACAAACCACATGACCAAGCAAGATGAAACTCAACACATTTCTCCTGTTCAAGGTCAGCCTTCACCCTGTATTGTTTTCTTGACAAATTGTAAACTCTGAGCTTAATACATTACGTCCTGATTAGATGTATTAGAAGATGCTCAAATTGCTATATATGACTATTTATTTTGTATTATTTATTTAACCATTGGCTTGATTTTACTCTGTATGTGATTCTTTTTTCTACAAATCAAATAAAGACATCAATGACACAGAAAAAGGCACAGTATGTACCATGGAA